AATCATTGTCGTGTGTGATTTTCCGTGCTATAATTTTGATTATTTTTCTCTTCCTTTCGTCTTTTTTGTGGGATATCTGACACAAATGAGGCTTCTGGAAAAACAAAAACCAGATCGTATGATTAATTCCAGAAAAAATATTGGGAGAGAATTGGTTTTTCTTGGATTACTGTTTCGAGACTTGATTATCAACAACGTGGTTATTTTCAATTAATGATGGTCATTACCTAGATGGTAAAAATAAAATTGAAATTTCGTTGATTTCGAAAAACTAATCAAGAAACTACCAATTGGGAAAGAATTTGAGTTTTTTGGATTACTGTTTCGAGGCTTGATTATCCACAACGTAGTTGTTTTTGATTAATCGTGTATTTTTCGAAGTTGGGAGGTTTTAAGAGTGAGAGATTTACAGACTCTTGTCAGGGTCAACAACAAATTTTTAGTAGAAAAAGGGAAAAATGGGGGTAAGAATGAGGAAACGAGAGAATAATTACATTTTTGACAACGAGAAGAGAGATGTGTGTCAATGGAAAAAAGGGACAATGCTTAATTTTGGATAACCAAGGAATTTTGTGAAGAGAAGTGTTTTGAAAGTATTTTTCAACCGTTTCAGAAAGTCTAGAATGCTCGGAAAATAGCAGAATTGTGTAATAGCAAATTAATCCTTATAAAAAATTCTGGAGAAGGCGTATCAATTTATGTTTTATGGTTTTTCGATCAGGTTGGGCAGGCTTGATGTTTACTGTTATCCAAGGACACAGATTCCTAAAGGACACATATTCCTAAAAAAATTTTGATACTGTAATTTCATAATTCTTCAGAATGAAAATGTCTGAGCAAAATCGTTCTGAAATTGGTTTATTGTTTCAAAAGGTTCAATTTATGTTTATGTGTGAAACATCTACAAATTTCTCAATTTGAACGAATCGTCAATATGAAGAAAACAAAATTAAAGTTGTTAATTTTACAGTTTCAGAAAGTTCATTTTCTAAAGAAAAATAATAGCGTTGCTTCATAGGTAGAGGCTAAGGTTCCGTTTCAAATGTCTTTTGAGAGCTTTGGACGAGAAGTGGACTATTCGTTTATATTTCTCACGCAACAATCAAAGATCTTCAAGCCTCAAAATAATCAAAAGCGTCAAAATGTCATAAGAGTAGTTTTCAAAATAATTATCAAGTTCAAAAGGTCAAAAGAGTCATTTGTCAAAAGATTCAAATTGAAATTCGTTGACTTTAGTCAATTATGATTAAAATGCATCAAAAGGGTCGAAGATGATTTTTATGCGAATAGGTGAAAGTGTGACACAACGAAATGTGGTATAGTAGTGAGAAGCAGAGATATCCTGCTTTCGGATTCCGGATTCCGGATTCCATATTCCGGTTACTGGATTCCGTATTCCGTATTCCGCATTCCGTATTCTGGATACTGGATTCCCGATTCTGGATTCTGGCTTCTGGATTCTGGATTCTGGATTCTGGGTTCCGGATTCCGGATTCCGGATTCTGGATTCTGGGTTCCGTACTCCGTATTCCGTATTCCATATTCCGTATCCCGTGTTCTGGATTCTGGATTCCCGATTCTGGATTCTGGATTCCGGTTTCTGGATTCCGGATTCCGGATTCCGGATTCTGGACTTTCCGGAGAATAATAATAGCGTTGTAATCAGCCTGTTTGAGGGTACTACTGATTATTTTTCGTAACTTTGGAAGTTATCCGACACTTCCGACTTTTCTTAAAGCATTTAGCACTTTGGACGAAATAGGATTTCCACTATTTTTCATTTGCCACGTTCGACTATTTTGACGATTCACTTTTTTTTGATTTTGAAACGTTTGACTATTTTGATGATTATTTTCCGTGAGAAAGAATTACTTTTGAGCCATTTGATTAATCAAAAGTGTCAAATTTCACGTGATTTCATAAATGAAAAATTTGAAACGAAACCTTAGTAAAGACTACTCATGAAAAGGTAGATTATGTCCGTCTNGAGCNTAATGCCCCCCCCCCCCCCCCCATGTTTCTTTTGCTCTCGTTTTTGGGTCGAGAGAAACAAAGAAAGTGTTTCTTTTCGCTCGTTTTCATTCATATTTCTTCTAGAGAGGAGACAAGAAGGAAAAATGAGAAGAAGCAGAAAACGTGGAGAAAGAGAAGGAGGAGGAGTAATATGCATTGAAATGGGACACCGAAATGGGTTCGGATGGTTAGCAGAGTCTGTGATGAGTTTTACGGTTTAGGGATGACCTCGGAAAACTTGCTTTGACACTTTTGACGCTGTTGTTTTTCAAGATTTCTATTCTTGTTTGAAGTTTGAAAATTAGGGAGATCCGTATAAAGTTTAGAAATACTCCTGTTTCAGCACTCTCCGTTTTGTGTGCCTAAATTGAGAGTAATAATGGATCCTGGATATTCATCTTCCGAGAGATAAAAAACATTCTTTCTGCGAGAAATTATTATTCTTGATTACTTTATTGATTTCGTAAATCAGTTTAGAAATTTTCCTGTTTCCGCACTTTTAGTTTCATGTGCTAATGTTGAAAGCTGTATTGATTTGAAGCGACAAAATCCATAAAGAGCGTTTTGAAACGACCCAAAACTTCGAATTTTTTGTATAGCAATCCAATAATAATGATCAAGAAACTTCGAACTCTGAAAAATTACTGTTTCGTATTTAAGATTATTTTTTTCAAATTTCATAAAACAGACGAAAAACAGTAAAAACGAGAGAGTAAATAAGGAAAATGAACACATGTTTAGGTTACGGTTGTTTTCGTTGTGAGACCTTTGGCCCCAGTTTCTCTTCCACAGCTCCGAATTTTTTGTATCAGAATAATAGCGCTCAAAAAATTATAACAAATCTTTGTAATTTGGAAAATTACGAACTTTGAAAAGTTTCGTATTTAGGATTATTGTTGTTAGAATTCGGGAATTTCAGTAAAACGATTTGTTAAAGTAATCTGGAAATCTCTAGGGTGAGGTTATCTGCGAAAAAAAAGAAACTTTCCAAACACTCAAGAAATTCAAAAATCGCTTTTGATGAGAAACCTAAATATCGGAATTTTCTGTACGATTTTCCACAATTTTCGAGAACTTCTCTGTTTCACTCAGTAGTTGTCTGACATTCCTGATTAGTTTTTTCTCGGTTTCTCTTCTTTTCCCATCTTTTTCAATTTTCAAACACTTCACAAAGTAATTTTTAGACTATAAAATAAGATTCTAGTAGTGACACATCTGTGACTTTTCCCCCAAGAGATTATCTTTTGCAAAAACACAATGTTCATGAATCAAAACTTGGCTTCTTAAAAACCAAAAATTTGCTTTTTTCGTTACCGATTGTTAGTCTTTACGGATTGACAGTTTCACAACACTTTCATAAGATTGCTGTTGCAATGTGTTAATTTCAAACTTTCCAATTTATGTGGGTTTTGGTATTTTTTCGTCTAGTTTGAATAATTATTTATAGAATAGGATAGCATCACTTTGAACTTGTAAACCCAGACAAGGAAGAAACATGGATAATTTTTAAATAGATGTTTTTATGACTCAAAAAAAAGGAAAATCACGTCCTCTCGCTTTTTTCCGGGTTATCAATGAAAAATGTAGCCTATTCAACATTCTGATCTGAATAGAATACAAACTGGAAGCAATATGAATAAATGGAAAGAAAATATTTCCTCCGTTTCGCGATTCTTGTATAAATTTTATGATTTTTCTTTATTTTATGCCTCGGACATTTGAACTGTATTCACTTTTAAAAATCCCAAAAATTACTTTTTCTCTCCCTTCTTCGTGTTCTTGTTGCCTGGGTAATCATTGTCGTGTGTGATTTTCCGTGCTATAATTTTGATTATTTTTCTCTTCCTTTCGTCTTTTTTGTGGGATATCTGACACAAATGAGGCTTCTGGAAAAACAAAAACCAGATCGTATGATTAATTCCAGAAAAAATATTGGGAGAGAATTGGTTTTTCTTGGATTACTGTTTCGAGACTTGATTATCAACAACGTGGTTATTTTCAATTAATGATGGTCATTACCTAGATGGTAAAAATAAAATTGAAATTTCGTTGATTTCGAAAAACTAATCAAGAAACTACCAATTGGGAAAGAATTTGAGTTTTTTGGATTACTGTTTCGAGGCTTGATTATCCACAACGTAGTTGTTTTTGATTAATCGTGTATTTTTCGAATTGGGAAAAATGAAATTTGAGATTTTCAAAATCTTGTCAATTTCAAAAATTACAGGCGAAAATAGACGTTAATTTTTATTTTTGGTAGTTTCTAATTCAGATCTAGTGAGAATTCAAATTTTGTTTTTTGTAACGTCCGAATTCTCGTTGATTTTGAAAAATTGCTTGAGAAACTACAAAAATCTGCTTTAAATTTCTTGAAAAAACTGAAATTTTCGAAAAATGCGATTTTTTAAAATTTTCCGGTTTTTGAACATTCGTTTTTTGGTCCAATTAATCTCGATTCCTGTAACAGATATCAAAAAGTGGTCAACTGTTAAAACATTTTTGATATTAACATGAATATTTCATTAGACTACTTTTCGATATCTTACACTGGAAACAAGCAAAAATTTGCTCAAAACTGACGATTCGGAGGTCTTCAATAAGAGAGATTCGTAATTTTCCTGTTTCAATAAAAGCTTTTACTCGAATATAAAAGCAATTAGTACTCATAATTTGTTTTCCCAAACTTTGTTCTGATTCTTACAATAATAGTTGAAAAAAAACTTTTGCAAAACGCTTTTCTCAAAAATTTTTGATTGCATCCAAAAAAATGACTGCATTAACTTGAAATAGTCGTGAAGAATAAGATAACATTGTAATTTTCATAATTATTTTTTAAAGCTTCAAGCTCTCTCCAAGTGTTTATAATTTTTAAAGTTTCCGATTGTTTTATTTTTTTTTCCCAGCAAAAATCTCGAAGAACCTTCTCTCTTTCTCCTCATCCTTCTCTTTTTTCATTTCTATCCATCCGCTAATTGGCTCTATAGAGAATATTTTTGGAGATATGAGTGAACGAGAATGATATGCAAAAAGAAGGTTTGATGACAAATTGGCAGACATTTGATACTCTTTTTTCTTCCCCTNTCCCCCCCCCCCCCCAA